ACCTACCCTGATTTCTGCCTAACTGCAGGTATTCTACAGGCTCCCTCCATGACAGGATGCATGCCAGGAGGAGCACCCTGGAAGGAAAACACACAGTTCCAGAGGCCACTTAAAACAGTACTAGTAATGCATACGTAGGAGTGCAAAGGTGTGCACAGATTCATTTGTTCCATATGGATTTGGAGCCAGCAGTACTCACACACATAAATCCAGCTTTTCATCAATGAGAAGCCAAATGAGTTTCTCATTCATTTATTACTGGATCCACCTGTCTATATAAAGCCCAACGTCATTTTGCCTGCTTAGTAAAATTGAAAATCTCATTGGCTTACCTAGCCTTTAAATTGTAATAAAGGTTAAATCTTTCATGAGCTGCATGTCTAAGCCAGAACCCAGAAAATGATCTGTGCCCTGACCAAAAGCCAGTTATTTTTCTGCCTTTGCCTTTCACCGGCATTTTACCTTGGCCTTGTTTTGTTCCCATGCTATGTGAATTTCCCATGCCTCTCCTCAGACACACACTCTCTGTAGAGAGAAGCAAAATCTGTGTGGAGTAGCAACCTTTGCAACAATGAAAACATTCCTCCCCAGATGACTCGGGACAGATTGGAGCCAAACCATTTCCTTCAGTCCCTGAGCACATTGTTTCCCTCCAGTGACTTCTGCAATCCAGAAACAGCTGCAAATTCCAGTAAAACAATGTTCTGATCCAATCCCTCAAGCCATCTTTACCCTTTTGTTTTTCTCTCTGGAGGGAGGAAAGAAAAAATATTTGAAAACCTGCCATGGTGCATTATTTCCAAGCGTCTGTTGATGGAGGTGTGAGTCAAGCAGCCCTTTTTATTGGAGGAAAGAAGGAGAAAATAAAAATGGAAGAGAGAGAGGTATGAAAAAATGATGGAAAATGGCATGGAGAAAAATCTGAGTGTGTGGAATAAAGTTCTGCAACGGGGAAAAAAATGAGCAAAAATATTGCTTATACAATGCAACTGAAATGTGCTCAGTTCAGAAGGCTTTAGCTCACCTCACCTCTCACTTTGGGTAAGCCAGGAAGCCAGCCTATCTCAACATTTAATTTGGGCCATTTTTACATGAAAGTAACCCATAAGAGAACATCAGGATATATTAAAATGATACTGTTGTCAGGCATAGTGCTACATGCCTGTAGTCCCAGCTACTTGGAAGACTGAGGTCGGAGGATCCCTTGGGCCCAGGAGCTTAAGGCTGCAGCAAACTGTGATTACACCTGTGAATAGACACTGTACTCTACCCTAGGCAACAGAGCGAGGCTCCATCCCTAAAAAAATAAAAAATAAAATAAAATAAATAATACTGTGAATTGAAAATGCATGAAGGTATATTTCACAAAATAATTTACAGCAATACTCTTGTAATCTGCAACCTCCGCAATACACTTAAATGGTGTATCAATTTATAAAACTACCTTTTAATTTATTTTATAAATTAAAGTTTATAAAATTGCACTTTCAGATTCACTTTTACCTTTTTTTAATTTCTTGTTGTGCCTAAGGAACTGGTCTTTGCAGATAGAATCAATGCTTGCCCTCTAGCTTCTGGTTGGGGTTAGCTAATGGGAAGCATCACCAGAAGGTTCAAGAGTGGGGAAAATGAGGTTGGGGTATTTATTACTATGGCTCCCTCCCTGATGGGTCACCATGGGCTGGTTGCGTCCCTTTACTGAAGATCACAGCTTCTGAAAGAGGGGTGTGTTCTCCCTCTTCATGCAGCTATGCTCTGTTCCTTTCCCTTTCCCCAGCATGTTTTGGAGGCATGGGTGACCAAATCCTGCTGTTGCTAGAACCCAGGGTATTGCGTAATAAAGCAATAACACTTTTCCAATTCCCTAAACCTCACTCACATCTTTATAAATAAATTAGTCCCTTAAACTCACCTTAATTATCCAGTTTGAGTGTGCTCTGTGCCTGATTTTTTCCTTGAGCTACACTGTAAGTCCCTTGAGTGCAGTCTTATAGGATGATTTGTGTCTTCTTCAAAATATCTAGCATGGTGCCAAAACATCCAGCATGATATAGAGCAAAGCTTTGTCATTCACAGTGTTGATGATCTGAAGGAAGTCCTTCACTTAGTCTGCCTTTTTTTGAAAATCACACTTCCAGACCTATTTAGTGAACTCTTCATGATTCCATCTATTCACACAAAGTCAGCCCATCATTGTTACCCAATACCTGCATTTAATGGGATTTTGCTTCTTATGGAAAATAGTGTGATGTAATGGAAACAAACAGAGGGATTTTGGAGCCTCACTGACCCAGGCTCAACTCCTAGCTCTGCAACCTACTAGTTGGGTAACAGGAAAAGCTGCTTAAAGTTCCCAAGAAGCACTGCCATTATACATAAATGTGAGATGCAGAATTATCACATCTCTGCCTCCTTCTCCCTCTTGCTTCTTCCTCATCTTTACCAGAGTGGCCAACTTGAGGTTTTTGTCCCCAGTTTAAACACAGTGGCCAGTGGTATAATGAAGCCAGCTTCCTGAGGAAGAAGGGATAGAAAACAAAGGAAAGAAAAATGTTAGGTTTAGACGCTGGCAGCATAAACCAGGCTTATGATCAATATTTAAATATAATTTGGGGAGACATGGAAGAAATTGTGATACTTAAAGAGGCTGATGAGGAAACACATGAGGAAGTGTTTAAAAATGAGCAAGAGATCAGCACAGTGGCTCAGGCCTGTAATCCCAGCACTTTGAGAGGCTGAGGCAGGAGGATTGCTTGAGGCCAAGAGTTCGAGACCAGCCTGGGCAACATAGGGAGATCTTGTGCTACAAAAAATAAAATATTAGCCAGATGTGGTCACATGCACCTGTGGTTCCAGCTACTTCTGAGGCTGAGGCACGAGGATCACTTGAGCCTGGGAGAGTGAGACTGCAGTGAGCCATGATTACACCACTGCACTGCACCACGGGTGACAGAGAGAGATTCTGTCTCTTAAAAAAAATGAACAGTTGGGCGTGGTGGCTCATGCCTATAATCCCAACACTTTGGGAGTCCGAGGCAGGCAGATCATGAGGTCAGGAGATCGAGACCGTCCTGGCTAACATGGTGAAACCCTGTCTCTACTAAAAATACAAAAAACAACAAAAAAACTAGCTGGGCGTGGTGGCACACGCCTATGGTCTCAGCTACTTAGGAGGCTGAGGATGGAGAATAACTTGAAGCCGGGAGGTGAAAGTTGCAGTGAGCCGAGATTATGCCACTGCACACCAACCCGGGTGACAGAGTAAGACTCTCTCTCAAAAAAAAAAAACAAATAAATAAACAAAAGTAAACAAGATGAACTATTCCAGTGCTGCTTGTCTGAAGCAATAGTGCTGTAGTCTTTCACTGAGAGCTGGCTGAAACAAAGAACTTAACCAATGTAGAAATGAGGACACGAAATAGAGAACATGTTCAAAAAAGAAATGTAGTATGCTGGGTGCGGGGACTCACCCCTGTAATCCATGCACTTTGGGAGGACAAGTTGGGCAGATCACTTGAGTCCACGAGTTTGACACCACCCTGGCCAACATGGTGAAACCCCATCTCCACTAAAAATTCAAAAATTAGCTAGGCATGGTTGTGCGCACCTGTAATCCCAACTACTGGGGAGGCTGAAGTAGGAGATTCACTTGAACCCGGGAGGCAGAGGTTGAAGCGAACAGAGATCTTGTGGCTGCTCTCTAGCCTCGGCAACGGAGTGAAATACTGTCTCAAAAAAAAAAAAAAAAAAGAGAGAGAGAAACATACTAAATGATCGTGATTCCTTCCACCCCTTAAATGTGGTCATTTGTAAGTAATTCATAAATTCACACCAAAATGGAATTTAAAATTTTCCAGGCCGGGCACAGTGGCTCAAGCCTGTAATCCCAGCACTTTGGGAGGCCGAGGCGGGTGGATCACAAGGTCAACAGATCGAGACCATCCTGGTCAACATGGTGAAACCCCGTCTCTACTAAAAATACAAAAAATTAGCTGGGCATGGTGGTGCGTGCCTGTAATCCCAGCTACTCAGGAGGCTGAGGCAGGAGAATTGCCTGAACCCCGGAGGCGGAGGTTGCGGTGAGCCGAGATCGCGCCATTGCACTCCAGCCTGGGTAACAAGAGCGAAACTCCGTCTCAAAAAAGAAAAAAAATTTCCAACTCCACCAATAAAGTGAGTGCCATTATGCAGAACTCATGGAACAAGGGAATTTACTCTTAAAATTTTCTTCATAGATATATACTCCAGTTACCTTTGTGGGTGGGAAAGAGGTCTCTAAGCAACCCTGCAAGGCTGACCTGGTGTGGACTAAAAGACAAGCTATGGGAAGAGCTCAGGACTGTTTGCACCATGCGGCCCTGGGCTCAGAGTGTCTCCATCTTTGGCCCTGGCTAAGTGTGTTCTTTCAGGCAATGGCCAAGCCTGCATGCCTGCCTGACTGCTGTGGAGAATCACACCCAGGTCACGGGGACTAGAATACTTTCTTCAAACTGTTGCTACGAGCCCGCTCAATGAGACAATATACGCAAAGCAGTAGGTACTCAGCATATAGTGGGCACTCCATACGTGCTCTTTATTCTTTCTTGTGGGGGTTGAGGGTCTGTATTCAATTTAGTTAAAAGTTTGTTTTTGTTTTTGTTTTTGTTTTTGAGAAAGGGTCTCTCTGTTGTTGCCCAGGCTGGAATGCAGTGGCACAATCTCAGCTAACTGCAAACTCCACCTCCCAGGTGCAAGTGATTATCATGCCTCAGCCTCCTGAGTAGTTGGGATTACAGGTGCCTGCCACAACACCTGGCTAATTTTTGTATTTTTAGTAAAGATGAGGTTTCACCATGTTAGTCAGGCTGATCTCAAACTCCTGACCTCAAGTGATCTGTCCACCTCAGCCTCCCAAAGCCTTGGGAATATAGGTGTGAGCCACCGCACCCAGCTGAAAGGATTTTTTTTTTTTAATTTGGAAACTCATTATGGTTGACATTCTTCTAATTGGTCAGGTCAACTATGCAATGACCACACAGGGTTATTTTCTACCCCCTTCTGCTTACCAGGCCTTGGATCCATAATAAGCAATGAAAAGGATTTGACAATGCTGAAGATCAAATGGTACAATGGAGTTACAGTACACAAACATTTAAGTTGCTGGAATTCAGCTCTATGCTCAGCAAAAGGAAATAATACAGATGAATATATACATATATATGTAATTTTTCACCCTACAATATGGCTCTTAAATTCAAGCCAACTGCTTCATCTGGTACTCAACCAAAGAAACAGCCATGGCCATCTGTTCCAACTCTGGAGGGAAAACTGGCTATGTTGAATTTACTGAGAGATGGCACAGAATACATATAACTCTGTAATCTGTTGTATGTGGGTGATTTAAGAGATGTTTTTATGGTGATTCTTTTCCATACATGAGTTTTGTCACACATGTTGACTTTTGAACTCAAACTCCAAGCACGTGCAACATCATTGCTGCACACTATTGTGTGTCATTTCAAGTTGTCAGACCCTACGCATATATGAAAAATGACTCCCAACGAAATCCATAATACTCCAAGACAAATTTGGGGACTGTTTAGGCAGCCTCCTAGCTGCCACATCTGCATTACCAGTTCCCTTGAATAAATTCCTTCTGTCAGTACTGGCATTGTTGACATCTTGAAGTATTTACTTTAAAACATACTTACTGAGTATCTACTAACTCACTAGGCATTGTGCTCAGCTCTAGGAATACAAGAGTGAATAAAACAGGCTTGATGTCTGGTCTCAAAGAGTTCACATTCTAGGAGAGTTATCAGATACATTGATCAATTAATTACACAAATTCATGAAGTTTTCTTTTTCCTTTAAAATTTTTTTTTGAGACGGAGTCTTGCTCTGTTCCCCAGGCTGGAGTGCGGTGGCGCTATCTCAGCTCACTGCAACCTCTGCCTCCGCGTTCAAGCGACTTTTCTGCCTCAGTCTCCTGAGTAGCGGGGATTACAGGTGCACACCACCATGCCCGGCTAATTTTTTTGGATTTGTAGTAGAGATGGGGTTTCGCCATGCTGGCTAGGCTGGAAATTCATGAAGTTTTTTAACAAACATTTATTAAGAGCTAACTGTGTGCCAGGCATTGTACTAAGCATTGGAGATAACACTGTCAAT